GCTGAGGATACAAGATGCCTAATCTTTGCCATTAATGGTCGAGCTACACATGAGCCAGCAGTGATGGCAAAAGGGCTCAAACCTTTATTCTCCCCTCTGCCCTCACGTAACACCTCCTCCTCAGTCCTTCAGACGCTCGGCTGTGTGTCACCAGAGGTTGACAGGGACCTCACCAGCAATGGCGCGATGAGCATTTGACTTCTGTCACTATACCATCTGCTCAATCCAGCAGCTTCCCCTCCAGCCATGGCACTGCTTTTTCACTCAAATGCGCCTGGCACGACAGCAAGCCCAATGAATGAGTGGCATGAGGGTGGGAAACTGAAGAGCAGAACACATACAAGATGTGAAAGACACAAGGGATGAGCTGGTGTAGCAGCTATTTAGCCAAATTTACTGAGATAACAGCATCTGCTTCTGAACAAGGTACCCATGAAATTGTTCACTGGATCCATTTCTCCTTTAAACCCACATAAAGTACAACTTATAATAAAATGCCTTTTAATGCCAGGCATTACATCTGACCAAACACAGCATCCATCTGCATCTAATCTGCTGCATCTACTCTACGGTTTAACCACTTTAGTAAGAATGTGATTAACCAACAACACACTCTACACACAAATAAACAAGCAAAGCAGCACATGAGGGCGACGATTCACATGTCCTCAAAAAACACGCCACAGGCTTTAACATCTAATTTGTGCATAAAGAGTAAAAATATGGTGCCATGAAAGGCTGGTGGTGTCTTCCTGCGGTTCCCTGGAATGCTTGCTGACATACGCCAGCGCCTGAGCAAGCTGTTAAACATGCCGTCTTAAGACCATTACACTGATTACACATGAGGAGTGGTATAATGTGCAGCGCAGACAAAAATGATGAATGACCCTGAGAGAACCCAACACGCTGACCTTGGAGCCGTTAAAGGAGCTGTATATAATATTCAGAGCATTAATAAAGCAGGAAACACTTATTGGATATGTAAAGATATAGGCTAGTGGAGTAATGGCGTCTGAGCAGAGGATGAAGTCATGTTCCTTTGTGTGTGTTGTCATCCAATCTTCTGTTATTTATTGTAGTAGATGGTCCAGCCGCATGTGGGTGCATGCGAGTCCCTAGGCCTTTTTTAACACATTTCGGAAGCTGTAAAGTGCCATCATTACGCCGCCTTTGCTTATTTAAACAGGACAAAATAACAACGGCATCCTGTCACCCCAGTGCGTGATTTTAGACAGCATACTGGCATCCTGGAATCAAAGAGGCATGGCGTGTAACACAACAGCATCGGCCTTAAACAATTACAATGGCATAATAACCATTTACCATCCCTGTTTCATGGCGGCTGATTTCACCCTGTGCTCGGAGGGTAAGAAGCTCCCGGGCCGCGTTGTCTCCCCAGTTTGCAGACATTTTCAGCTGCTATTTTTCCTCTTTGAGTTAGCTGCTTTTTAAATCTCCCGGCAGTGGGTCACACACAAAACACATCGTCAAAACGTAACATCCATCCCATCCATGATCCAGGTTCAATTCAGCGCTGTTACTATCTCCAATGCTGGCTTAAATGCGAGCCAACTCTGTCCCCCCATTCTGTGATTGTACCTTTAACAAAAACTGGTGAAACAAATAATGGCGCGACATTCCAGCCTTGAACAGCTAGTGTAAAAGGGCTTCTGTGTGTGTATCCCACTGGCTAGCTAATCACTGCTCCGCACTGCGCTCATACAACTTACTCTGATATTGGGATGGCACTGACGCAAAGGCATAATGCCGACCCTCCGGTTAACCCCTAGTTGACATTGATAGCTCTGTAAGCACTGCTGCTGTTGTTAGCACTGTTAGCTGCTAGACACCGGCTCAGCCACCTCCATGTTGAGAGCCATGTGCAGGCAATCCCAGCTGAATGTTGTCCAGAGCTCTGTCAAAGTCACAGGATCCTTAGTCACCATGTTTCAGCCTTCCTCAGAGAGTCATATGGAAGGTTTACTGTTACTCTTTGACCCACACTTGTGGAAAGCATTGCTGGCACTGATGAGGCACGTAGTTCTGGAGCTCTTAAATGATCATCAATGTTACAAATCTAACTGATATCCCAAATAAAAAGAGTGAGTTTTTCTCTGTTTTGTACACATTGTGAACATTGCTCAGTAAACCACCCACATCCATCAGAAACAGACCTCTAGTGGAACAGGAGATCAATTCATAAAAAAACATCAACCTAATGACGGCATCTGTGCTTTCCCTGACAGTGATGAGTGGGCTTAAATCCTTCCATAAATCCAGACTGCAATCAAAACAAAGGCTGACAAAAAAGACGGAGAGAGAGTCTGGCTCTCACAACAGGAGCAGGCAGCATGTGATCCCCTGTCTGCTGGTTGGTTGGTTTTGAAGCAACAGGATTTGGTTGGGAGCCCTATTGTGAATCCTGGCTAGCCGGCCAGCCGGTCAGCCCGCACAGACCAGACTCAGGCTTCCTGATCCTCGTCACATGCATGGGGTGTGGGATCTGTTGGAAAGGGGGGCGCCACATGGTTTGGCATGCTTCAACGGCACAATGAGGAGAAATGCATCAGCCCTACCAAATGTGGACTGGACCTAAGTCCTTCAGCAGTTTTTTCCCCCTCTACTGTTCTCTAAATCATGACCAGTAAGCACACCGGCAGCAAAGCACCGTGGGAACACAGACAAACAAGGAGAAAGACTGGGAGACAGTGTCGGGCGCACTGGGGGAGTGGTGTAACAAGAAGACTGAAGTCAGCCACTACTGTTAAGTAATTTCTCAAACCTTAAGAAAGCCCCCAAACAGCTCTGTGTTATGGTAATGTCTTTACAGGCAAACACAACATAACGGCTGTAACTCTAGAGGGGCGTCTCCAAGCCCACTAGGCCAGAAGACATCCTAACCAGCTCTGCAATGATAACAACTGGATATGGCCTCTGGGCATGTCACAGGAAGCCGTTCTTCTGCCAATCATGACAGGTGCCTTATTGTTCAGCTGAGCACACATTGTGCTCATAACTTTATTTTGAAAGACATATCTATCCGGCTCAATTACCCTTTGTCTGGTTAGCCATGCAGAAGGCGCTGTTAGAAATAGATGAGAACATATTTCTTCTTCAGGGCCCTGTCTGCACCCCATTGATGGCAGAATGCAACAGATCTCTATTCAAACTAAGATTGAAAGACTTTCCCTGGCACTGTCATTATCATGGCTGCTGAATAGGTCTCCCTCTAGGAGTGTGCTGCTGGCAGAGATGGGGTACCTAGGCAGCCTCATTTTCATCTACATTAGGGAAGATCTTGTCTTTAATCTATCTTTCATCTATCTGGGAAAAAAAGGACCGTCTTCCCTTTTGTAACTTAACAAAAACTGACTGAATTTCCAACAGAAAATTCAACAAGGTAAAACCAGTCAAAATCAAAGCTAATATAGGTCAATACTGGGAGCACATACATAATGAGGATAACTAACACAAATGTTTTCATGATGACAGAGAAAATGAGCAGATTAATGGGGTTGTTTTTCGCTTCTGTGCACAATAATAGCAAATTATTCACACGTCACTACAGATGTCTTAATGCTCATTCAGGAGAGTGGGCAGTTGAAAAATTGCCTCCCTGATTTGCAGACCTGACAGCTTGACTGAAGCCAAACATTTTTGGTGTTAAAGGAAAATAGGTTAAATGTTACACCAGGCCATAAGCATACTGGAGTCATCTTTAAACACTCCTGTGTCTACTTAGTTCAGCACAGCCCTACGGAAAAACCTAATCTCTCCCAGACATAAAACCCTGTGAAAATAATGGTGTCTTATTGATTTCAACGCTCCGGGAGAAAAAACTTTTTATGCTTGATCTGTTCAGATGGGAGCTGTGAAGCCAGGAGGACAGAAATACAGAGCACTGAGAATTAAACAATGGAAACTTACATTTACACTCAAGAGTACCAAGTTGTTGTGTCTGCACTGCAGCTCGCCAGCAGAGAAGGAATGGGCCTATTTGTTCCCCCTTTATAGGGAAGTTAGTTATTGTGGAGGCTAAACTTCCTGCAGGAAGACAGCAAAGGATATGCTGCTGGATGACAAACAACATTTCACTTGTTTACTCTCCCAGTGGAGTATACAGAACATTGTATGTTGAATAGGCCGCAGGAGCAGCCATAATAAGGAATACTGTACATGCTGTGTACATGCAGACTGCCAGATTTTGTGTATGGAGAATCCAAACACCTCCTGATGTTAGGGGGAAAGTGTTCTTTGTCTGGACAAGCTCCCACAGCTGCAAGAGGTAAAATATCCCAAATAATAACATAATACATTTTTTGCTGACTTCTGCCTACATAAATAAAAAATAAACCCACTCTGGGCTTCCTGTGACAATTAAATATGGCCTGGTAGACTATATAGCAGTGGCCTCACCTACAGTGAGCATGTGAAGGCTTTATTATCCATGACCAGTTGGACAATGATGCCTTTATCGCCCCCCACCGTTTTCATGGAAGCACTCCACCAGACAAATTCATTCAAAAATATTTCTGTGCATATCCATCCAATTACCAGCACGCGCGCGCGCATATTCACCACAACCACCATCACCATAACCAATAAATATGACGACAACGTGCCTTTCATTAACAGTGAAAATGATTTAAAAATACTGCATAGCCTCCCTTCAGGAATATAAATGTAAATTGTAATGTATAAAGCCTTGAATTATGTGTATATGAAGGGGTAAATAAACAAACACGAGTCCAGTGTAAGTCAACCATTGATTAACTGAGGCTACTGCTTAAAACACATTACACAATCCAGTTTTTCTATACTCGTCGGTTGAATTACATCTGCCTCAGTGCCCGAAAGTAACTTTATCCTTTGTGTCCACTGTTGCCATCGATATACCAATGAGTTTCTCCTCTGTGTGTAGCGCTCCGCACTTTGAGCTCCAGCCCTACTTTGTAGTTTGTTGCTCGGGTCGGAGGGAGAAACTCACCCTGAGCTCTTACCTCACAATGTGAGCGGTGTCCTGTCCAGCCAGGCTGCGAGGTTGTTCACGTTGCTAGTTATCCTGAAAGAATAAAAACCAGTAGAAGCTGTGGTAGTCGCTCTCGCATCTCTCTCTTTCGGTGTCAGCCTCCAGACTGGAGTGGCACGGACCATAGCGATATTCACACAGCACCTATCTCCGTGATGACAACACGCAGGGAGGAAAGACTCCGCCCACCAGACGCTTGTGGTACAAACTCTCTGCGCTTCACTCTTGTCCACACACACACAGACACTCACTCACAATTACACACACGCTTTAACAGCATGTTTTTTGCTTGATATTTAAATGAGACAAATATCCACCACAGGCTGAAGGCGAAAAATGAGCCTGTCATGGTAACTAGTCCGGTGGCCTTGTTGCCTTTCACTACAGCACTATTTTAGTCTATAAGCCCAGTAAGCCCCACAGTGGCACCATCTGGTGAACTGCAGGAAAGTTGCTCACTCACACTGTAGGTTATCTGGATACATTACCAGTCGTCTAATGTGTAATCAAGTATTTTTTGGAAGTATCTATACTTTACGTGAGTTGTTATATGTCTGTCAACTCTCACTTTAACTCCTCTACATGCCCTAAATAAAACATATAGGCTACTTTTACACCGATACATTTCCCTTAAACATCTCAGTTAGTTACTCCAAAATATGGAAGCAAGGGAGGAAGGAGGGAGAGATTGAGGGACGGATGGATGAATGGGATTAAAGGAAAAACTGTATTTTGTTCATTAAACCCTGTAAGTTGTAATAAATACCTCATTTTCTACAATAATAGACTCAATTTTTTTAAATAGTGTACTTGTTAAGAAGAAATAAGCTTCATTATGCTCATGATTATGATTTTTTTCTATTGGGTGCAATAATTCAACTACCGCAATTTTCTGTGCAATTATTCAACTGTGCAATATTTCTCAGTATATGACTTTATCATGCACATAACTGTACGTTTCTTATGTTTACTCTTATTCTATTGATGCTTTATTCTATTGATGTATATATCGTAGTTAAGTTTCACACTTACAGCCTCAACACAGTGACTATATATATTTTATTTTTAATGTTTCTATTATCTTAAGTACTAGTGTTAAACACTGTGGCATAATGCACATTCTATTTTTTATCTTTAATGCACATTTTTATTTCTATTGTATTTTATTGCTTTATACTTCTACTTCATACTCCTATGTTAAGAAGAAATAAACTTCATAATCATCAGAGTTCTGACCACTTGCTGATTTTTTTTTCTTTTATCAGTATTTACGTGTACTTGTACTTTCAATACTTATTTACCTTTAATATCATAAATTACTTTTGATATCTAAGTACAATAAATATCAGATACTTTGAGACTTTCACTTAAGTAATATTCTAATAGGTGACTTTACTTCTACCAAAGTCATTTTCTGGTTAGATATCTGTAGGCCTACTTTTACTTAACCTCCTGGGACCCTGTGTTCTCATATGAGGACATCTCATTTTGGGTTTACTTGACCTGATACTTCATTCTGCTTAACTTAGACCTGTTGTTCTCATTCGTGGGCACTTTTTGTCCCATCTAGTGGCCCTGGCAGAGCAACAAGAAGACAATCAAACTTGACTATTGACAATGACACTTGCACAACACACTAATCCGTGTAAAAACAAGATGGCCAAGTCAGTTTGCAGCTGATCCTGACATGAAAGTGGTCAAGGTCCAAAACCTGATTCCATTTTATGGTTAAAACCTGTTTATTTATATCTAATAATGTTTGTAGTTTGATACATGACGAATTTTAGTAACAGTAACAAGCTAGGAAGTACTCGTTTGAGGACACTGGGACTTAATTATCATTGACAATGTTTAGTTTTTTGATACTAATGGGGTCCTACTGATACCAAATATCTAAGAGAAATCAAAAATGCACTCCAAACTAAAGTGCAGGTCTCAGGAGGTATATAGCTTTAAGGTATTTCAACCACCACTGTAAATTATTATCTTCATATCCATTTGACCTGTACTTGCAATGTGTCATGATTTCTTGTAGCAACCTGTAAGATTATTTTGATTTTTTTTTTCTTTTTTCCTCTCCTTTATATTCATTTTGGGAATAGACTTCCTCAATAACTTTCATTTACACTACGCCCTAATTGTTAAAACATAACAACAAACTAGCACTATTACTGATTTTAACAAAACTGAAACCTGTGCTATACGCTAAGCACCCCCTGAAACTACATTTCCCGGGTGTCCCGGGGCAGTGAGTGACGCACAACGCTCGCGACAGCTGTTTGTTTCCATGGAGCCGATAGAAGCTAAACGCTCAATACGCGGATTAGCTAACTGAAAGCTAGCTAGTTAGCTTGTTAGTTTTGGTTGTAGCGCGGCTTTCGGGTGTCAGGGGGACAAAACAGCGATAACATGGAGACTCTGTTTTCCTTTGAGCTTCTGGTGGAGTGTATCCAAGTCGAGAAAGAAAGTCAACTCTCCGACGAGCTGGCTCTTGGAGTGCGACTGCTGGACTTCCCAACTCTGCTAATTTACCAGCCTCAACAGAGCAGCGGTGGCATTAACCAACAAGAACATAGTGGACAGATGCAGCGGGGAGGATACGTCTTTAACAGAGGGAAGTCTTGCTTCTTTAAAATGAACCTGAATACACTGCACACACATCTGTCTAACACCCCTCTGTATGCCATGGTGCTGGATGTGAAAGAAGAGATCCCCAAACTAGTTGGTACCTCACTCATCTCACTGGCCAAAGCGATGGACAGAATCAAGCAGGACGAGGCTGAACATGGTCTATCTACTCCCTCCTCTCACGGTGAAAGGGGGGTTGTTGGTATATGCAACCTCACTGGGGAGAGAATTGGATCAATTTCCCTGAGTTACAAACTGCTAAGTCTGGGGGCTAGTTTACTGCCACATATCACAGAAAGCACCAGTGTACATGGAGGACAGCATGCACAACAAAGCTCCATGGAGGAAAACACATCTGCAGAATCGCTGCCTCATGACTGTTCACCCACATCAGACAAGCCTGGTGTTAGCATCCAAAACAAACAAAAACTAAATGAGGCTAAACACAATGATGGTGTTGCCATGCAGACGCTGAGAAGCCAAATGCCTCAGACAGTCAATGAAACAGAAAACAAATTTGAAGATTTAACTATATTCTGTCCACCTCATCTCTTCTACAGTAATACTGCAGAAGAAAAAAGCAAAAACGAAGGAGAGGGTTACAAAATCCTGAATCTAGACTCAGAGGCTTTTATATACGGAGACTCAGATGAAGAGACAGGTGGAAATGGAAGTGAAGGCACAAACTCTCCGACGATGGACCAGAAAGTAAGACATGAAAACACTTCAAGAAACCAAGAATCAAGTGGGGCAACTCCAAATGTCCTCGGGGAAGCCTTACGACAGTTGCCTCTACTAAATGCTCTCCTTGTTGAGCTGTCACAGTTGAATGGCCAGAACCAACACCAACCCCTATCTGTTCATCCCAATCTATCTTGGATTTACACACCCTCTTCAGCAGAGCCTTCAGCTGGGCATGGAAACACACCACAAAAGGCACAAACAAAAATGTTGCAGAAAACCAGACAGGGGACTAATCCCCATTCGAAACATTTACATCCCCCCAGGTACTGTTCTACACCAGTGGTTAGGCCCGCGTCTGTGAAAGTGAAAGACAAACAAGAAGGGGCTTTGATGCAGAGTCAAAGCTCCAATAAATCTCCTCCGAAGAAGCTTGTTTATGGCACAACTAAAACATTCAACCTCAGACTGAAGCAGATTTCTCCTCTTAAAGTCAAATGTCGTGAATGCGTGGATTTAATACAGACTGATGCACAGTCAGGTACGGCCAAGGGAAAGATGAAGTCAAGCAAGAAGATCATAAAGTCCAGCAGAAGAAAATCAGCATTTAATCAGAGCTCTAGTCTTAATGAAAATATTGAGACAATGATGGAAAGTATCCCAGCGGACTCCAGACTACAAGAAACAATCACACTTAAACAGAAAACACTTCACTGGAAAGTTCATGGTAAACAAGTCTCTCCGAGAATTTCAGAGCAACCATCCCTCTCTGAAAGAGACTTGAGATTTATTCACATCCCCAGTGTGGATGGGCACGCTGTGGCCCAAAACAAAGACAAGAATGAGCATCACAGTGAATCACTTGGAGTCAAATCACAGTCTCAATCAGACAGGCACAGAGAGAAAATTGAATCTTCAGGAAGCAGCAGACACAGCAGCCCCAAATCTTCATTCTCAGACTCCAGCAGGGAAGGAAACGAGGAGGCTGACTACGCTGATGACTTTAACAGCCTCGAGCCCAGCGATGCCTACTCCCCTGACCCCATGAGCAGCCCCGAGCCCTCCAGAGCCAAGACTCCCAGGTCTCCTCTCTGCCCCGACTCCCTCGGCTCCGAGGGTTTCCAGAGGACAGCAGCCCTCCCTGTGCCCATCAAAGCCCCCAGCTCTCCAAAGCGTGCCCTGAGGGGTACGCACATCATCCGACCTTGGACCCAAGCCTCGGCCCTCAGCTTCTCCTCCGACGATGGTGACAGAGATGCATCGTCCTCCCTGCAAACCATATGCTCCAGAAAACAGATGACAGAGAGTAGTAGAGTTGAGAGGAGCTCTGGTGCTGAGAGTTTCATATCATCAAGAGGTCAGAGGAGTGTGTCAACTAAGAACAGTGGCCCTGTTCGAGGACTCTCTGTAGAATCAATATCCTCCTTTGAGCCACAAGAGTTAGAGGAACTGGAGGATGAGCTGGGATCTCTGGATTTCAGAAAGGAGTATCAGCATATCTCTGAGCTAGTGGCCAACAAACTCCCTGGTTACACTATTTAAACAATATAGAATCACATATTATGTTCACATCTAGCAAATGTCTAAATTGATATGTGTCAGTTTTCCTTTCAATTATGATGTCTGACAACTTCTTTAAATAAAGACAAGCTTATTTGTGGCAATGTGTGTAAAATATGTGATCATTGTACGTCTTAATCACTCAGTTATTACAGGGCTACTGGGAATTTGCATAAATTGTTGGACCATGAGTCTTTTAGTGACATATAAGAGGAGGGAAAATCTCCCTGCGCACACCATTTATGCAAATCATTTAACTTGTAAGCTCTCGTTTCCAGTTGAGTTGTCACGAGCTGAAAATCTCCCAGAGTTCCGAGGGCAGCAGCCTCTGATTTCAGGGTGTTTCCTTTAAATATCGCCTGCTACTTTGCATTCTCCCTTGATATTATTTGGTAAGCAAAACAGAGACAGCTACGTTGTTCATTTTAAAAGTGCTGTGTGTTTTGCATGTCAGTTGTGTTTAGGATTTCTGTGGCAGCTCTTCCAGATGGACAACTAAACCTAATTTGCACTTGTGGTGGTTCATCATTATTATTATTTAGTACATTTACTCAAGTACTGTAATTAAATAGAATGCTAAAATACTTGTAGTTTGAGTATCACAGTTCTACGCTAATTATACTTTATACTGTACTACATTTATTTATTTGGCAGCTCTAATTCTTTTCAGATCAAGATTTTTTAAATCTATATTAAGCATGGAACAGCTTCCTTATACCATATGTACACTGCAGTTAAATTTAGACCAGTTCCTCTTCAACCAACTATGATTTTAAACTTTATTCATTATGCATCAGTAAGTTTAGTCCAGTACAATAATTAAAAACACTGACAGGGTAAAGTCTGCATTAAGAGTACTTTTTAGTGTGTACACAGTGGCTTTGCTCATTTTACACAAGTAAAAGTTTAAGTAGGAGTTGTGTTTCCAGATTCATACAACTAAATAATGTCTGTTGTTTGAATAACTTTTTTTTATCAAAATATCTTAAGGTTATAACTTAGATCTTGTTTAACTAGTGTTTTACATTATTAAATGCTGTTGAACCTGCTCGTTAAACAAACCACTGTATTTATAATCAGTGTTGGGGAAGCTAGTTTAGAGCGAAGTACCAATTACTGTCTAACTGCAGTTAGACAACAGCAAAACTAACCTGGGGCGAAATCTAGGTTGGTTAACGAAAGCTACTTATGATTACCATGACCTGGATGACTGAGAATCTTCACTGATACGAATTAGGGACTGTCTTTTACCAGAGGAGGGCGGTGACTGGGGTGTGACATCGTTTTTTTTACCCTCCCTGAAGCTACAAATACTTTCCCTTGAGCCTCTGTGAGTGACTGGCAGAAAATGCACGGCCCTCCCTGCACCATAAATTAGTTAGAGTTTTAAAACGTACCCTTTCATGTTTGAAAGTCAAAAGTTGAGGACAAAATCCTGGAGTTGAAAAAAAAAATCCTTAGTTTTCCATTCTTGTCAGTATACTGGTTAGTTAGTGCAATTGGGTTGTGTTTTTTTTTTTGGCCAAATCTTAAATGAGACGTAGAATAAAGTGATTTTGATGAAATATTACTATTTTCAGCTCAGATTTGTTCTTTTTAGTTATCTGACGTAAGCATTCGTCGCACATGATGTTTCCAAGGACTGTCGGAAATTTGAAAATCCAAAGATAATTTCTGTTTTTACAGTTTCTGGTTAGGCTAAATGTCGTGATTTGGGCATTTTCCAAAGACAGCATGCAGTTTTTTAATCTGTGGTGAAATACACACAAAATACAACTATTTAAATTAGTATGCCCCTCTCCTAAGCCAAAACACAAAACAAACGTCCTCATCAGTGCTCAAAATATTATTTGACATGCCTCTGCCTTTTTGCGGTGCAGTGCAAGGCAATTGTAAAATTTAAAAAATATCGCATTGCTTACAAGGCTCAAAATTGTTTCTAGTTTCAGTAGTGACTCAAATAAAAGTACTTTAACGATTTGTATATGAAATGTAGATAAACTATAGTTTAATTACTTGTAGTTTCATTACGTGTAATTCAGTAGGCCTACTCCTCAACATTGTTTTAGGATTATTCAGTCTATGCTTAAAATATGACATGATAAAGTTCTTTGGTGTGGTGCCTACCGCGCATGCGTTAGCTCGATGTGTACGGAAGTACTGCAGCAGCATGGTGAACGGTGCAAACTGAAATGTTAAGACACGTTTTCCTGACAGGACCTCCAGGTAACACACACACACACAGCGTGTCCGGTGCTGTTGACGTTACAGTCGCTGTAAATCCAGAGCAGTCAGTCAGCTGTATTAACCCTGTGTCCCAGTCAGTAAACGTTTAGGTCGGTTGTGATGAAAGTTAGCTTGTTTTAGCTACTTTTCCCGGATAATATCTCTTTAAACTGGCGACTTTTATGGTAGCTGTGTCCTACTACATACTAAAGAGACGTTCATCTAAGGAATGAACATTTGAAATACTATTTTGACAGGTTTTTAGTTAATATGACTCAGTCATTCCTATTTAAAGATGGTTTAACATTTTGTAAATTCAGTGGACTCAGAGCACTGATGAAGGAATAAGATGCTATCATCATTAATACATGGATTAAAGACATCCACAATACCCCAGCTTTAAATTGTTATGCTGCAGTTGTTTAACAATGTCCCTTGTTTTGCTTACAGGTGTGGGGAAAACCACTCTGGTCCAGAAAGCCTGCGAGGCTTTAGTGTCATCAGGAGTGGGAGTTGAGGGTTTTTACACAGAGGAGGTCAGAGAGGGAGGCCGGAGAGTCGGCTTTGATGTAGTCACAGTGACAGGAGAGAGGGGCCACCTGTCCAGAGTCAGGTAGCAGGGTTGTCATCCTATCCAAATCAAACCACCTCTCTTTTATCGTGCTGTTTTTGAGTGACTGTCACCTTATTTTGACTCGCAGAGACGCTGCTGGGTCATCCCATGGCAGACGGGAATACACAGTTGGGCAGTATGTGGTTGACTTGCCTTCATTTGAAAACCTGGCTCTCCCCCTCTTCAGAAATGTAAGACGACACACATGCCTTTTAAAACTCATCAATAGATCACAGTAAGCAAAACACTCCCCCTGTCTTTCCCCAACTTAACTCATCAAACCTTTGATTTTCTCAGAATTGATGGAATAATTGGAAGCTTGCAAACACATAAATTCCAGAGTGACATTTTTAGTGTTCGTGGTGCCGTCTGGCTGTCACTGACCGTGATTAATCCGGCATGTAAAGTGAGCCTGGAGTGACGCCTACACATGTGCTGTAAAGGAAGGTGTCTGTGCCTTGGCGGCACATATTCCACTTTCATCTCAGGCGAAGCGTCTCTGTAATCACTGCTGATCACCCGTTGTGCATGACATGCAGACACTGTCACTGGCATGCTATCAGACACATCCATGAGACATTTACATGATGAGCTTTTTCCACATGTTAGATTAGCCACATGGCCACCAATGTAACCTGTTTAATCTCTTTATCGATAACTGTCTAAACTCAACTGGTTTCCTTTTATTTATAGATTGTGCAAGCAGACACTTATGCATGCTCATGCTTAACGCTAACAACCCTCATCTCCAGGTCGGGTCAGCAGATGGGGGGAACAGGAAGGTGTTTGTCATTGACGAGATTGGCAAAATGGAGCTCTTCAGCCAGTCGTTCATCAGGGCGGTGAGACAGACTTTAGACAGCTCCTCTTGCACCATCCTGGGCACCATCCCCATCCCCAAGGGTAAACCACTGGGTCTCGTGGAGGAGGTGCGGAGCAGGAGGGATGTCAAGGTCTTCACTGTGAGTACAAACACCAGCACACTCTCTGGGGGGAAAAATAAAGATATTTAGGTCACTTTAGGAGCTGTTAAGACCCACAATAGCTATAGGACAGTGTTTACACTGTATCCACTTGGTCTTAGGGGGCAGTCAGTCTGCCCACTAACACATAAGGGGCATGCCCTGCATTATCCCTCTCCTATAGCAGGATTAACTCTTAAATCATGCGTGACTGATTCAACAACAAAGGGTGGTCTCAAATGTCAAAATAATTTATCACGGAAGACTCAGTTATGGATATTGTCATGCAAAACACTCACTGTGCTCGAGTGCTTATTATATATTAACAAGGTGATGTGGCAGTGTAAACATTTTTGGCAAACATATGATTTGTAATTTCACTTATAAAACGGTAGGTCAGAGATTAGTTGTTTACAACATGTTGATGATAATCTCAAAGTGGACACTGTGTTGTCTGAGGCTTAGATCCTATAGGATATAGGATAGGATATTCCTGTGTTATTTATCTTGAACACAGATTGTATAATTTTACATTATCTACCATCTGTAATGACTCTTGCTTATTTCTTTTCCCACTTAGGTGTCAAAGGAAAACAGAAATGCCATTCTACAAGACATTATAGCAGCACTACAAAACTGTCTACAACAAACAGCCTGATGAAACCTCTGCATTTTTGTGCTGACAAGTTTTATTTGTGTCGGTGCACATACAGTACACACAGCCAGACTGTTCAGTGAAACTACACACACTTCCTAACTGGGTTTTTGACCTGACCTGAGGGGGCACAGCGAGCTGCTGGAAGAGTTAGTGTGTCACATGCATGTATTTATGTACTCAATTCATTTTTTTCCTTTCTCATAAAGCCTCAAAATGGATTGCATGCTGAATAATTGATTGTGAGATGGAGCACAACGGGGGAATTGTTCAGTTAGTGTGTAAATATCCCGTGCTCTCAGAGTCAGACACTGCTAGTCCTTAAAACAGCTGCGTTTTATTTTTTTATTCAGCTGTTGGTCTTACAGAGATTCCAGCAGGCAATTCTAATATTAATTCATCCACAAGGACAAGTGCTGCTAATTCTTTCATAACGGGGCAAACAAAGCAGTGCCCCTGTTTATTCATTTAGTTCTGTGCTGTGTGAGCCCCCCCCCCCTATTGTGTTTGTCTAGTCAACCTGAGGATGTGCTCATTGAAAATCAATCAATATTTAACGGTGGAGCTATGTCCAATCCTTTCATGGTTTATTCATCCACTAGCATGAAGGAAGAAATGGAAAAATAAACAGTTACTGTCTCTCTGCAATGAGATTGTTTTTCTCTGGTTATCATTTCTTCTGTTTAAAGATGGAAACTGTTCATTTATTCAGCAGTTGCAAATGTTTTCATAGCGATGGTAAGCTTCAGTGTTGTTTTCAAAATAAATATGATTCTCTTTTGTTTTGGGGATTTTGTGCTCCATCCTGGGAGATAATGGCATCTCTGTCCATGTGCAGCCAGATTACAGTGAAGGATAAATAGTATCACTGACTATAGGATTTCTGAGATGTCAGAGTGCATTTATGAAGGATTTATTACAGTAGTGCAGCTCAAAAGAGGTCTCTGAACGATTTTACAGCTATAGAACGAGGCATGTTGTCAAACTTGAAGTGAAGCTCTCTGCGACTGTCAACAAACACATTAAATCTGGCATATTAACACTTTTTGCCTGAAGTGCATTTGTTAAGACAAAGTTGGCTATATTCTTAGGTTTAAAGGAGAAGTAGGTTTTAAAAGTAGCTCAAGAGCATTCAAGGTTCATGAGTCTGTTGATAGTTCACATCAGACAGACTCGCTGCAAGTGGAATTTCACTGACTCTGCGTGAGCTCCAGAGTCTGGCAGTTGTATCAAGGTTTTTAATAGAAACCCTCTGGCAAAGATATTTGTTTCAACATTAAAGCATCTTCAGGTCATTTCAAAGTGAAAATACATGGAAGGCTTTTTTTTGACTTGGTTTTTTTTTTTTTGTACTGCTTGTGTAACTGATGTAACCTGTCAGGCTGGCTGCAGAGAGAGCTGCCAGCTGTGATCTGCGTCAGACATGCTGCTGTGCCAGCATCTGTTCTGTGGCCACCGCTGACGTACCTCTGGATCTGCTGGCACCGACAGTCGCTGAATTGGCTTCAAAGTCAACCTCGCAATGGTCGTATTTTTGAACCAACATGGAAATATGGCGTTGCGTTGTTGTTTTAGGCAAAAGCTTAACGGGCAATTAGACTTGATGGTATGGTTCATGGTGGGGCAAGCTAAGCAGTAGTGCTGAAGGAGCTGCCTCTCCTGATGGAAGGTGATCCTCAGCCTCACCCTGCAGCAGGGTAGCAGATGGGTTATGTAACAGTGACAGAGGCGGTGCCAGTTTTACCAAATAAAGGGCGTGTGTGTGTGGATGCATTGGATTTGTTATAATGTGATTAGCAACCATATTGCGATATTAAAGGGCATATTTACAGCAGTGATTCCCAGCCAGGGGTGCCTCTGCTGTTGCCTGGGGGTACATGGAAATATTGTGGAGTCGTTCAACCAATTAAAAACATTAATAGAACATGGCCAGCATTTGGCGAATCCAGCGTCCCAGCCAGCATGGACTGTTCGAAGTTGAAAGCTGGGAAGGTTTAAGGCCTTTGACAGTTCATGACACCTGCATTAAAGATAACTAACAGCTTTTATGACTATAAAACAGATGCTCATTCATTTATGTCCCATCTCTGCCAGGCCATTCTTCCTTGGCAACACCGTCTCTCCCTATTGGTCCGTTGCAGCACATTTTGGGGACATGCTTCAACAGCTTAGTTAAAAATATCCACTGAGTTTTGTGATGTTAGACCAACTGTTATTGATTATAACCAAATTCTGCACAAGGCCAAAGTACTTATTTGGTGGCGCCCCCTATTGAGTGATTTCAAAATAATTTTACACAAGTGGTTTAACATTGTTATGAAACATATCCTGCAAGTTTTGTGATGATTCAGCCAACAATTTCTGATTTAAAGTCTGACTTGTGTTATGCCACACCCACTGTTTGCATTTGTAGTGCCCCCTAGTGGTCTATTTGAATGAGACTTTCAGGGTATGTTTCAGGTACTTAGATGGATATATCCTGCAAGTTTGTTGATGACTGGCCCAATGGTTGCTGAGCTAGGTCTTTGTATGCGCTGAGCCACACCCCTTTTAAAGTTCATTGGTCAGTATTTTTGCTATGCAATGAGATGTCAACAAGGTTTTGATAACTGTAGATAAACTTGGTCCTGTAATGATCCACAGAAAATTTGGTACAAAATGAACCAACGATTGAAGCGATGACGTCAAAAATGTGCTTTTCAGACAATTCAAAATGGCAGAAAATCTACACAGGCAGACTTTAATCCTGGTTCTTCAGGATTTTTTGCAGCGCACATTGAGCTGGACTTGTATGTTGAATTTCAAGTCAGTCGTATTTACAATGTAGGACTTATGATTGTTCGAAGTTGACTTTTAATCACAGCACCACAATTAGGCTGATGAGGGTTGTATTTCTCAGGCAGCATTGGCACAACATTTTGAATCTTTGGTGAAAATTTTACGTGTCTTATAAATAAATATCCTCATACTGAATCAGCCAATGAAATAGCTAAAACAAATTGATAAATACTTGCAATATTGTTGGTCAGTTCATCTGTTGGGGAAATAGGTTTGATAATGTGTATAAAATGTTCCATATCATCATAACATCAATATGTGATACAGTAGCAAACAATTCAGATCCATAAAGATAATTATTTCCCTTTATTTGCACAGAAGAGAAACCCTCTCCATACTCAAAAACCTTTTAGATTACATTACTATATTTAATGGCACTCACCAGACATATGGTTATCATGCTTGCTATTTTCCATTGTTAACACCATGGGTTTGTTCATACATAACCATTGTGCAACTGTAACAATTGGATACGCTGTCAGGGGACATGAATGTACTGACGTGACGTAAGCCATATAGAATGGCTTGAATGGATAAGACGTGAATTAATATCCATATCGCAGAGATGCATTTGCACCATATCTGCAGGACAGATGTCTATGTGGCACCCTGTACCCTTTATCCCTCCACACACAGAGAATACAGAAATGCAAGGAGCTTACCAACAATCCAGGACAAAAGGGAGCTTGCTGGTGGGAGGGAGGGAGGGAGGGTTAGCGGGGTGGATGGTGGGGAGCTGGAGCTTAGATGAGGACATTTCTCTCCGGTTATTGCACTTTGTGGTACCAGCCCAGGAGGCACAGTGACAGCTGTGGGGGAGGTGGAGGCGGAGGGGGGGTATTGTGATATATTGTCCGAGAAGCCCTTGGCCAAAATGCCAAAGACGGCTGATGAATATCTGACATATTGTTCAAAGACCATGTGGGAGATACACAAAAGCCCGCTCCAGCTTTCCCAAAGCCGGACTTCAAATTCACAGTTTATTTCCCAGGTTGATCGTGTGATTCATTGAGAGAAGTGGAGCTAAAGCTTCTTAGCATCTGTGATGTCAGACTTCTCAGTGCCAAAGCCTGCACATGGTAAGCACTTAGCAACACTCCTAAATCAAGATAATTTCTAAGCATGTACTGGGTATGTGACTTCTCACCGTTTGTGCCACAAGGCTCTGCACGGCCCACAGGCGCTGTGAGTTCAAATATATTCCCAGAAAGCTGTAATTGAGCTCTAATTTACCTCATTGTGTTAATGGGCATAGCTCAGGTCCGCTGCTCTTGACAGGTGGGCAGTTAATGTCAAACGGGATCCGAAGGCTGTGGAAATTAAGCCATTTGATCTGTAGGTTCCTAACCGCTATTCCACCCTGCTGCCCACCACCGATGATTCCTAAACCACTCTTCCCATTACATCACTTTCATGGGCTCCCCGGGGCTGCTGGAGGCAGACAGTGTTAGGTTTCAAAGCCTGTATCTGGGCCACTAGCACACCCTTCTGCAAGCCTACCTTTTAGCCCGGGATCAAAGCTCAAAGAAGCACGGGAAGGAAAATAAAAAAGGGAAATCTTTGCATCATTTCGACAAATGTCTTCCTTTGCTACTCATAAAACAAGCAGCATTTATAATGTACCAAATTATGGACATAAATCTATTCTTATTATGATGGAATGGGTCATCTATGAAACTAAAGAGCAACTATTAACATATTCCCTGCTGAGATCTGAGATGTGTGAAGAGTCATGCCTCCTTCCAGAGGACCATTTTCCTTCAGCAGCAGGGGAGGGGTGGAGGCCTGAGGACATCCCTCTCCTGTTACACTACCTTGATGGCTCCTTGTGATCTCCGGATCTCTTTGAATGACTGTGGTAACCCCGGTGAGTCACTCCTCAGTTGGCTACATAACAAAACCTGGACTTTACCTCACCTTTGGTAGGATGTGTCATGTGGGCCGTTATTAGTGGTTAGACAAGAGGAAATGCGACAACCCAAGTGTGGAGAAGTGTGTGGGTGTTGTGTTTTTATGGTGTACGTATCCATTGCCCGGCCATATAATCCCACACTTACAGAGGAAGCCTCCAGAGTGTGGTGACACACAAGCGGTGTGAGTGCATCTCTGTCTCTGCAGGGGAGGGCTGAAACCCCCACAGCTGGGAAGGAAGCAGTCAGGAGCTGTCAGTGGATGATATGGAGGTCAGAGGGCACAGAGCGGACACAGTGATCGGGGGCATGGTGATCAATCGATTGGCCAGTGAGTGTTGCATCCCTCAGGGCCAAAAAGGATGTGGCTGTCAATCCAAACTTGACAGAGAAGAAAAATACACAAAAACTGTCTTTATTGTGGAGGGGAAAACCCAAATGTTTGTAGTCCATGCATATTGAGAAAATAGGTGCCATATGTGCACGCAGCAACTATGTGAATTTGCCAATCACATCCTGGATGTCATTGTGGATTATTAGCTTGTCTAAACTAATATCATATAGATCAATGCGGTGGCACATGGACATGACTTATATGGGGATTTTGTGTACACACTGAACAATCTTAGGGTATATTTTACAGTGCTGTGAGAGTCTGAGTCATACAACTCTATAGAGTCTGGATAATGATTCACAGATTGCTGACCTGCTGTGATTAATGCTTCTGCTGGATGCTTCTGACAAATTTGCACCACAAACGCAGAGCTTTTTCGAGCTGTTTCCATTCCATACGCTACTGTAGCTGCCGCGTGCATGTGTTTATGCGCATATACGTGCCAAGACCACACTGTGACTTTTGGCAGTGTTTATGAGCTGAGAGGTGGTGCAGTGGTCGAGCCAAAACTCAAATCTTCCTCCTTTTTTTTTTTTCTTTAAATAGTTGTGATAGTGTGACTTCACAGTATATAAATATAGTGTGTGTGTATATATATATATAGTTATAATATATACATTTCTTCAAATCAGCATGGATACAGTGTGATCTGAGGGTGTGTTGCTGTGGTCGCTGCTAACACACTAAATGACTCCTAACAGTGCACATGCCTCAACTATTACTGACGCTTAACCTTCAGCTAAAATTTCAATTGCTTTCAGCTTTTACAATTTTGACTAACATGCAGTGGAAGCGCAAAAAAACAAAGACAACCTTACCTCGTGATTATAAGTTGCTATCTCGTAATTACAGCAGGTAGTTAACAGTTGGTGCTAACTTAGGCTACAGGATAAGAGAGTGG